CAAAATTCTGGAGTTATTAAAAGGATTAATGACTGACTGAAGTTAGTAGGGGTGGGGCAGATATGAATAGGCAGAGCATAAAGGGTATTAAGGTTAATAAAACGATTCTGTGTGCCCAATGTAAACTATGTACTTTGGGGGATAATGATATGCCATGTATGTTCATGGATTGTAATAAATGTACCACTTTGGTGCCAGATCTTGACAGTGGGGGAGATTAGGCATGTGTATGTATGTCGGGGGAGAGAAAACAGGAAGTACAGTATGCAGGAAAATCTCTGTACTTTCCACTAAGTTTTGCTGTGAACATAAAATTGCTCAAAAATAGTGTATTTTAAAAAATCCATCAAAAATTTGGGGGAAGCTGAAAAAGTGAAATTATATTAAGGAGCTAAATTTTGACAGACTTCATTTTGTTAATTCTCAAAGCATTAAACGTATTGTTAAATCCATTTAGGCATGAGAAAAATTGCATCAGAAAATATACTAATTTATCAAGTTTATTCAATTAATATTTGTTGAATACCTACTATGTGCTAGGTATTGTATAAGGCATGGAAAATACTCTAGTAAATTCATATGGGCATTACATTCCAGGAACACAAAACAAGAAAGAAAAAAATGGTAGGCCAACAAATGAATAAAATAATTGAAGTGAATTAAGTACTGTGTGAAAATAAAGTGCTGAGGTAGAGAATAACACAAAGAAATATTTTTAGATGAGGGCCCAGGAAACGTTTCATATTTTACTTGAACATAGGAGAAGCAAGGGAGCTCGCCATCTGAAGAGAAATATGAGAAAAGATAGAACAATATGTGAAAGGCTCTGAGGCTGAAAATAGCTTGATATTTGAGAAATTGAAAGACAACAGGATATCTTGGATTTAAGAAGATGAGGTTGGAGAAGGAAAAGTATCTCTGGTATATTCTAAGTCTCTGTGATGAACATTTTATTCCTTTTGCATACTTTATTTGAGCATCAACTGGTTTCCACTCATGTGTTTTTATTTAGAGGTTTTTTGCCTTAGGGTGTGTGTGCTCATCAGAGAGAGAAAGAGACGGACAGACAGAGACAATGAAAGGGAAAGTGAGAAATCATCTCCTGGGGAGAATGGTCATACTCAAATGCTGTCTCCTCCATTTTCTTCCTCAAAACTTGGGCATGTGACACATGTGCCCGGTGTAAATTTCAGACCACCAAGTCTGGGACTTGAACCATGGTCGGCCATGTGACAGTCCAGTGATGTAACCACTAGGCCATCTTCTGGCCCAGTCGCCACTCATTTTAATAGGCACTGAGATAAGCTAATGAATATATTCTCTAATGTCTTTATACTCATGAGTTTATACTGTAATGGGGAACCGAGAATCACATACATCAAAAAGTAAATAAAATGCTAATATTGGGTCACAAGAAAAGTCTGTCTTTTTGATAAAACTCCTTCCTGGGCCAGCAGGTGGCACAGTTGTTAAGAAGGTTGAGATCACACATGGCTGACTTGGTAGTTCAAGACCCAAACCCAGTGGCTTGAAAATTATGCCAAGCATGGGATCAGCAGGTGGCATAGTGGATGTGGTACTGAACTCCCACATGGTCGACAGAGGTTCAAGTCTGGACCTAGTGGCTTGAAACTCACAAAACTCACACCAGGCACATGTGTGTGCATGCCCAAAGTCCTGAGAGGAAGATGGAAGAGAGAGGATTACAGTGTGGCCCTCTCCCTGGGGAGTGATTTCTTGTTTTCTCCTTCTCTGTCTCTCTCTGTATCTCTGGAGAGCACACACGCCCTATAGCAAAAAATTCTCTTAAAAAAATAGAAGAAAGGAGATTATGCCAGTTGTGTGTGCCCAAAATCCTGAGAAGAGAATAGAGAAGAGATTATAGTGTGGCCATCCCCCCAGACGATAATTCATCACTCGCTTGCTCTTTCTCTCTTTCGCACGTGCTCTCTCTCTCCCTGACATGCAAATATCTTGTAGCAAACTAGGGAAAAAAAGCCATTCTCATAGGAATGAGTTCATATCTCATTTTGGGTTTGTTTGGCATTTCCCTGATGATTCATGAATGTTGATCATTTTCTTGTATACTTGTCAGCCATTCGTATGCCATTTTTAACACTGTCTAGGGACCAGCTGGTTGTGTAATGGTTAAGGCAGCTGGATCTCACATGGCTGACTGCATGATTCAAGTACTGGTCTCAGTGGATTGAATAACATGCCAGATGGATGTGCGTGCTTGCTGAGAGGAGAAGGGATGGCAGCATGGCCAGCCCCATGGGAGAGGGGGTGCTTTCTCACCCCCCTACCCCATCTTTCTCTGGCAAACACATAAGCCCTGTAGCAAATAAAAAAGAAAAAGAAAAAAGATATATCTCTTTTGACAGTTTTTAATTAGATTATTTGTTTTCTTGCTATTGAGTTGTTTGAGTTCCTAACGTATTCTGGAAAATAACCCCTTATCAGAATCTAGTTTGAAAATATTTTCACTGGTTCTGAGGATTGTCTCTTCATTTTGTTGCTTGTTTTTCTTTACTGTGCAGAAGCTTTTTAGTTTGATTTAATTCTATTTATTTTTGCCTTTGTTGCTTTGAACTGAACTTTATTAAGAAATAATGGCAGTGTTTAGGATAGTCAGAATAACAGAAAATTGGTCAGGATAGTGGATGCATGAAACATTATAGGGATAAATTAGTTCACCAGAGTTGAGAAGAAAGATGGAATTAATCTTTATTACTTCTGAAATGTGTGTGTGGCAAGTCAACACACTATTATCATGTCCAAAACTTCCTTGGGCATGATAGCCCTCATGGCATGACTGTTGTTCTTAGGGGCTGGGAAACCAGGTGATCACATTCCTAGATGGACTGGCATGACAACTTAGGAATGGCTTTTTCTATGAGAACAGAGGCTTTGCTTATGATCTAATAGTAAGTAGTGCAGTCCATTGCATCCTGGTTATTCCCAGCACAGTCTGCCATACCATTTATCATCTGCCCCACACAACATATTCTAATGCACAGATTCTTTTTACACTTAGTTAAACATTTAATTTTTTTTAAAGGGAGATTTTTAACATAGGGCATGTATACTTACTGGAGACAAAGAGAGAGACAGAGAAAAAGAGAGAAAGTGAGAAACCACCCCTCATGGGGATGGCCACACCACAATCCCCTCTCCTCCATTCTCCTCTCAGGATTTTGGGCACACATGCAGACACACACACACCTGTCATGAGTTTCAAGCCACCAAGTTTGGGACTAGACCTGTGCTTGACCTCGTGGGAGTCCAGTGCATTCCCCACAATACAACATACAAATTATTTAGAGGCATTGCAAAGCCTCATGATGTTTAATGCCTTTCTCTCTCTCTCTCTCTCTCTCTCTTTTTTTTTTATTCTCCTCCTGTTCATCCAACTTTCTTAACTGCTAGATGTGACTTCAGTTACACTGATGCCTATCATCCTCTCTGTAGTACACTCCCTTGTCATATTTGTCCAGAGGTAGCAAATAGTAGTATTTTGACATAAATACTGTTCCAGATTTTTAAATGGTTAGATCTAGTCTCATGCTTTGGTTCTACCTCCTCTCTTGCCCACTCAGAAAAGACTTAGCTATATTACAAAATTTTGTCTGGTCTTCTTTTATTTTACCAAATCTTCACAATTATTTTCTATCCTGTTGACCTATTTTATGTTTAAGCCTCTTCTCAGCATCTGTTTTGCGTTCTATTTGTTTTGATATTTATCTGTTGCCCTCTCTATATCTTAAACTTCATAGATCAGGGATTTTTCTTTTTATATAGAGAAGGGATGGCTCACAGTAGGTTCTCCTTGTAATAATGGTGGATGAATGCATAAGTACTTAAGTGTTATTTTCTTTCCCGACATTTTAGAGTGAGCCACTATTTTCTCTTATAATGAAATATAATAGTTGTAATTTTTATACTGGTTAGGACAAAATTTGTTAATATATAAAAAGTTCTCTCTAATTCCAAGCACATGTTAAGTAAATAGACAATGAAATTTTTATTCATTTTATCCTTAAATCCCACTGAAGCAGCATATCAGATATTGATTAAATGGTATAATTCCAATTGGGAATATATAATCATGGTGATTGGATATTATGTATCATATATACTATGTATATATCATGTATTATTTACTGTATGTATTGGGTCCTCAGAAAAGTCATGACAATGGTTTGAATCAAGGCAGTAGTCATAGAAATTTCTGAGATACACATTTTTCTATGCAAAATTTTTCTATGCAAAAATGTGTCATTACTTTTCCAACAACCCAATATATTATTATATGTGTATAACATTTTTATTATATATTCATAGTGGGATTATTACAGTTAAATATTCTCTTGTGAAACACAAATATTCCCTAAACAGTTCAAATATCTCCCTTTTTCATATTTAATGTTGTAATCCTTACAATCAGAAGAAGATTAAAAGCAGTGAAAATAATTATGGATGCTGAAGACAGTGTGGAATGGTGGGGAGGGAGAGTAGGAAAGAGTATAGAGAAGGATAGCACAAGAACAAATAGAGAGCCATGACATTTTTGGGACACAGAAATGGTTTATTACCTGTTGAGGCTAACATGCATAGTATTCCCAACTTAACTGGTCTAAGAAGTATTTCATGTTGGGTAAAGTCTCTTTACAAGCCAAATGATATGTAGTGATTAAATAAATAAAAAATAATGAAAATAAACAATAATCTGAAAAAAATGAAAACTATTTGATGACGATGTGGATACTAATGTCTTTGTCTTGACTGGTATGCATAGTAATCGTGCTGGAAAAAGAAATGTTACTCACTGTAAAGATATATGTGATTAAATGTAATATAAAAATAAAGAAAGTGACTTATACTAAATTAACGTGAAATTTTATGTGTATATATATATATATATATATAGTATAATTATAATTCTGTTGTTAGATTTATGATTAACTAATGCTATCTTCCTTCATGCTCAATGTTTCCAGGAAGAACCCTATGTCCTGTTTAAGAAGTCTGACAAACCTCTCTATGGGAATGATCGATTTGAGGGCTATTGCATTGATCTCCTCAGAGAATTGTCTACAATTCTTGGTTTTACATATGAAATTAGGCTTGTGGAAGATGGAAAATATGGAGCCCAAGATGATGCCAATGGACAATGGAATGGAATGGTTCGTGAACTCAGTAATCATGTAAGTCCCTTTTCTTATTATTTTTTAATGTAATTATTTTTATTTTTATTGTAGAGAGCTTGTAAGACAGAGCTTCCTCCCAGATTAAAAATTTTATAAATTCTCTATTGGCTATTGAGGGCAGTAGGGGTACTTCTTCTTGTCTAATGCAGTTACTGGGAAGACTACATTTAGGTTCTCAATAGTCATCTGATGAAATAGAATTATGTTCTTCATGTTCTCCAGCTGTTTCTAATTTTCCTCAATCCTAAGCTTTAAAAGTGAAACAAACTCAGCACAACTTTTCATATCTTCCTTTTTCTTCAGCATCCACCTGGATAGTGTATTTATCCTCTGGCATTAGACTTCTCCTCAAAGTCATCTACCAGGCCTGTCTTGACTCCGTTGGCCCTGTAGAAAGCCCAGTCTATAGCAGGCTGGTTCTTAGATAGGACAGCCAACTGGACCTAAGGATCCTGTTTCATATTTTTAGGGAGTTAACAATGGTCTTTTGCTTTTGGTGTATTATTTCCCCAAAAGCTACCCAGCCAGTGGCTTTTAGAGCAAGTTTTCATCCATCCATCTTGCAATCCTTCACTAACCCTGGCAGTGCACAGTCCACAGACAGTCATGGAAGTGGGTCCTTCTAATTATTCTTTTACCTTTAGTAGATTGCAAAAAGATGGACTTTCTCCCTTTTTGATATTCATTACTAACTACATAGGGCATTTATGTATTTCAAGTATGTATTTTCTTTAATAGTGTTTTTCAAGTTGGTTTTCACAAGAAAATCTGAGTATTTGTATCTTAGTAAAGTGGAATAGGTGCTGCACAGGCAAGTACAGATGGATCCTCGCTACAGAATCCTGAATAAGTGACGTATGTGAGGATTTTACTTTTAGTTAAAACACAGGATATTTTAGATAACAAATATAGTTATGGATATATTTGTCATATGTACCTAATTAATGCTTCCTCTTTTTTAAAATAGAGATTTTTAAAATATTTTTACTATATGGTGTGTGTGCTAGCCAGAGAGACAGAGAGAGGCAGAGAGAGAGAAAGCAGAAATCACCCCCCTGGGGGTACGTGGGAATGGTCACACTGCAATCCCTTCTCTCTAATTCACCTCTTGGGATTTTGGTCCCACACACACCCAGTGTGAGTTTTAAGCTGCCCATCTGGGACTCAAACTGTGGTCGATTATGTGAGAGTCCCACAATGTAACCATTACACCATCTGCTGGTCCCAATGTTCTTTTTTTAAATTGGGTTTTGAGGATTAAAACTTGATTATAATTTTTTTGTTCTTAATTTTTTTCCCTTTCATTTTCTATGTATACTTCTTCAACAAAATTATAGAGTAGAAAATGATAGTTAGGAAAAATGATTTAGATCCATGGCATAAAAGGGACTGGCACACTGAGGGTATAGTAGAAGTGTACTACAACTTATTTCTAAAAATAATAATTTTAGTATTGATTTGAGACCATTGATAGGATCTCCAAGTTATTTAATAATTTTATTCTTCTTGGAATCATACCTGTTAGTTTGCTTTCAATTTTTTTTTTTTTTTGGCAAGAATACTGTTCTACTCTAGTACAACCCTTTTTGGTGCCTTCCTAATGTTTTACATTGTTTACTTAGCCTTGGTTTTTAATGTTTAGTGTGAAGTCACATTAAACTAGAATGATTGTTACAGACAATGTATTTTCCTTTGTACAACCTCATCTTATTTTGCATATTCATGATATGCTGATTTCAATGTGCGCTAATAACTCTTATTGATAATCATATCAACATCCTGAACTTCTTCTTACTCTTTATTTTCTTTGGATAAGATTGTAATCTCATAGCCTGATTATTGTTTTCATACTGAAATGTCACCATTCCGTATCTTTACTCTCTGAGCCATACCTATATATATCTATAACTGCTTCTGGTATATTTTCTACTTTAAACGTCTTCCAAACACCTAAAGGCAATATGTCCCAAACTGAATTTATTGTCTATCTTGCCTAAATCTGTTCCTTCTGAATGGTTTCCTATACAGTACATAGTAATTTAATGAATTTCCCAAGTAAAAAATATGGTAGTCATTTATTATATTTTTACTCCACCATATTTTAGTGAATATGCTTCTTAAATAACGCTGACCAACTGCCCAATTCTCTCCATGTTCACTACTACATGGAACCATGCTTTCATATGATGATTTTTCTCTTCTAATACATTATTTTATATTTTGTTCAGCTAGACTCTTGTTCGAAAAAAAAAAAAAAGAAATCTGATCACCCTCATCCTTTTGCATAAATTCTTTTAGGAGTTTCTAATGTCCTAAGAATAAAGGGCTGACTTTATACACCTGTACAAATTAGATTATTGTATTTTTTATGGATATTTTCTTTTCAACTTGCCAAAGCTACTCTCAGACCTTCTTCACTCTGCTTTCTGTGTTGGGAGCCTGTATGTACTAAATTAACAGGGTTCCCCAGCTACAGATCTGAAGGAGAAAGGAGAGTGAGATCATGATAATAATTTCTCTCCTCCATCTCTGGCACTCTTGACAGAGTCTTATCAGCCTGCAATCCCTCTGCAGCCCTTCAGCTAGCCAGGATTATGCACATGCACATACTCCGTACATGTAACTGAGATAGAAAATATGGTTGTCCATGTGACCCCAGCATTGCAAAACAGTATCCTACCACCTGTATTGCCAAAGCTGGGCCTGAGTTTCTACCTTTAAATGTTCTTCATAATGATGCCTGACTTACACAAGTCTCTCCAGTTTGAGGTTGCAATCACTTCTCTTTCTTCTCTCTCTCTTAAATGTATGTGTTTCTTTCCTCTGTGAGAGGGGTGCACTCTCAACAACAGAGTCCTCATGCTGCAATCTGCCACAGCAAAACCAGCCCCAAATATGAACACGCACACATGGAGTCTGTTCAGGGTGGTTTCTGAAAGTAAATCAGAAACTGCTAAGAATTTCCACACTGCTCTTGTCAAAGAGGAACTGAGGTGAGGGGTTTTTATCTGGATCACAGGGGCTTTGTTTGGCCTGTTCTCAGCAGAGGCTTATGCATGCATTTCCTGTGTGGTGGGGGTCACGTGCTAGATGGGGCTGGTAATTTTTCCTAATTTTGGAGAGGATCTGGAGTGGATATGAGAGTCAGGAGACTCTCTTTGTCTAAAAGCTTTGGGCCATAAAACCCCATTATCTTGGAATGTGGTGGGACCATGAAAAAAGCCTTTGTTTTAGGTCATGCTGCCTAGGTTAATCATTGAGTTATTGCTGTAGCTGTTTCTTGTGAACAAGTTTCTCAGTAACAGCTGCGCTGTTGTGAAGCTATTGTGTCTCTATCTTAAAGCTTAAAGGGGAGTTGGCAAATAAGTAGCCCTCCATAAGGCAAAATCCTTAAACTTACAAGGTTTTTTTACAAGGAAGTATTGGTTAATAGTCACGAAGATTGTGTATTATTTAGACTTGTTATATGGGTGTAGTTTTGGTCCTCTAATTGCCAGTAATTTTCGGTGGTTCCATTCTGTATTTTTGGGCTTATCTCATAGTTTCCATCATGCCCAGGTGGGTTTTCCATCAGACTTAAATAGATTCTAGCAAGCCCTGGACTTTGATTGACTGGCTTCTAATTGTTCTTTTGTGTTTTGTGAGGTGGTCTATAATGGTTTGGCCTGAAATATCTATAGGGAAGAATTTAAGTCCTCAGAGGGGGACTTATCTGGATGGCTTTAATAACTGCCTCTTGGTCAGCATTCTATTCTAACTCCTCTAATGCCTGTCTAGCTAGTCTGCAGTGTCTGAGAAGTAGTAGATAATAGAGACATAACTAAAAAGTCTAAACTTTGTGTCTTATTTATTCTTCCCACTGTAATGTTGATAAATATTCTTGTTAAGGATTAAAACATAAAGCATTAAGACACAGTGAGAAAGATGTAGGGGTTATAGTGCTGTTGTTGTTAATTTTAGATTTAATTATATTCAGTTACATCAGCGTTACATTTTAATTGTAAAGCTTATTAATTGACTCCTTTAATATTACAAATATATCAGTGCTTTCCTACCTACATGTCTTGAGAATGGCAGTTTTATATTAAAATTAATGAAACATAAGGAAGCATTAATGGAGAATCAAATTTACTGTAGATTACCAAGAAACAACATGAAGAAAGAAAAAACAAAACAAAAAGCTGCTTAGGTCATCAGCAAAGCAGGGACTTTTTTTTTTTTTTTTAAATTACTATTTAAAGTTCTTAACATTTCAAAATAGTCATTATAGGAAAAAAACATTTTTGTAACTCCTTGTACTTATTTTATAATTTGATATTATTAATATATCAACTTTAATATACATATTAGACTAAAATTGAAGAAATTTTTTTGCTTAAATCTTCGAAAATGTTAGTCAAGCACTTTTCAAATACATTTAAATATACACACACACACACATACATACACACGTATATGCCAGAAACCATATATTGGATGCATTTGAAAACATTAATGTATTTTCCACTACAGAGGGTGTAAAGGAGCAAATAATATATTTTTTGCTTTCTAGATAACTTGGTCTTTTTAATATTTTAACTCTGAGAGATATTTCCATCAGGCTGACCATCTGTTGAGTTTTGCGATGATTGGTGATTAGGTCATCTATAAATGTTGATAATTTTTCATTTTAAATTAGGATATTATTTTACTCCATCAATTCATTGCATATATGATCCTCTGTATTATAGTGTGTAGTTGGTAGCATCCATCTGTTCCAAATGTATAGAACTAGGAAGCTTCAATAATACAATTTACAGGGACAGCAGTTGGTATAGTTATTAAGGGGCTAGACTCCCACATGCCTTATCCTGGTTTGAGTCCTGGACCCGGTGACTTGAAACTCTCTGTGTGTGTGTGTGTGTGTGTGTGTGTGTGTGTGTGTGTGTTTACACATGTGTACTCAAAACCCCAAGAGGAAAATGGAGGAGAAGGGAATGCAGCATGACCATTCTTCC